AATTGTGCTAGAAATAAATACTGTAATGCCCCATAAATCTCTTGAAAACTGCACTTGAACATGTTATAAATTTTTGCTAATACATAAACATAATGTTTAAACATCCTTACAGGAGAAATGAATGTTATAATTTTATCCTTTTTGATAAAAGAYTATATCTCTGCTTTAAGAGAAAAGCCAGCTGGGCATGGTGGCACATGCCTATAATTTCAGCAAYTCAGGAGGCTGAGGCAGGAGAATTGTAAGTTTAAGGCCAGCCTCAGCAACTTAACAAGGCCCTAAGCAACTTAGTGAGAGACCCTGTCTCAAATTTAAAAATTTTTTAAAGGCTTGGGATGTGACTTAGTGACTAAGTGTCCCTGGGTTCAATCCCCAGTACCAAAAGACAGACAGAGAGAGAGAGAGAGAGAGAGAGAGAGAGAGAGAGAGAGGCCAAAAAAAAAACTTCAGCACAATGAAAAAGTTTTATCTTATATACTAATACACTGTATAGCTTATATAATACATTAACATAAGATAGTACTGAAATGATTTTTATCTGTTAACTGAAATAGATCTGCAATATATCGTAGTATAATACTTGAATACAGTCTGGCAAAAAAAAAAAAAAAAAATTCCACTGAAAGTAGCTTTTATACCACACATAGCAGCTAAGTGCTGACCTCTCATGGCCATTCTGAAAATATCTTATATCATCACCACCCCTGAACTTTCATTTTACTATTAAAGACAAATATAGTTTGATGACATAGGCCAATATAGTTTCCATTACGTTTTTAAATACTTAAACATAATTATTAGATATTTTTAAATTACTCCATGGCTTAAAATCTTAGTGGCAAAGTCCTAGAATTAAATCTTAGTTCTAACTTGTTAGTTWATTTAGGGCAAGTTGCAGAACTTCTCTGAATCTCAGCATTCAAACCTACAAAAGGCAAAAAGCAGTACTTAGATAAAGATTAGTCATCGGGCTGGGGATGTGGCTCAAGCGGTAGCGCGCTCGCCCGGCATGCGTGCGGCCCAGGTTCGATTCTCAGCACCACATACAAAGATGTTGTGTCCGCCAATAACTAAAAAATAAATATTAAAATTCTCTCTCTCCTTCTCTCTCCCTCTCTCACTCTCTCTTTAAAAAAAAAAAAAAAGATTAGTCATCACTGTTAACTTGACCATAAAATCTGTAACTGTATCTCACTCCATGGAAGGTCTTCAACATTTATACTCCTTAAGACTTTTCATAAATATCAACCCATTTAAAACAATTCACATGAGTCAAACACCAAAAACATAGCCAATATAGAATATATTCTTTTTTGCTCTTTTTAAAAAAAACAAGCTTTATTGAGATATAATTCACACACCGTATAATTCAACCATTTAAAGAATGGAATCTGAAGCTGGAGGAGGCACTCAGTGGTWGAGTGCTTTCCTAGCATGGGCAAAGCCCTGGCTTCAATTCCCAATATCAAAAGAAGAAGAAGGAGAAGGAGGAAGAAGAAGAGGAAGAGGGGAAAAAAACTTTATGATACAATTCCCATTAAGTTAGGTCAATTTAGATAAAACCTTATAGACTCAAAATCTTCTAGGACCTTTTTTTGTTGTTGTTGCAACTGGTTGATTAAAAAA